ACATAAGCTTGAAATCTTGAATCTTGATTTACTTCATGTGTCCCTTCATGAAGTATTTCTTCATAAGGTGTTTCTCTATGCATAATTAGCTCCAAAATATCACCTCTGATAGCAATTATTAATAAAGCATTGGTAAAAATCCATAAAAACAAAACCAATGTTCGAAAAGCTTTTTGAGAATCTTCTTGTTTGTCTTTTCTGCTCTTTCGCTTTACCTCATTCTCTTTTCTACGTATTTCTTTATAAGCTTCATGATGTGTTCGTCTAACAATATTCTCATCAGGAACTGTAACTTGTGCTTTAATAATTCCAGTTTCATCTTGCACGAAAATGGCATTATTTGCGCGAACTGCAGGACCTTTAGTTCCCCAACTATAAATCACATAAGTTAAAATAAATTAAAAATATATTAAATTAAAATTTAAAAATTATTAAAAAAAATAAATGAATGAACAATGACTTTACCTGACATCGTGAATATTGCAGAAAGCATAAACATTTAAAATATTAATGTAAAATGGTATTAACAAAGTATATTGTATAATACAAGTCAACATATGCCAAGGATCAAGCATCATAATACTTGAAATTACATATATGCCATATGTGGCAATTAAAGAAATGATAACACTAGCAAATTTGAACTTCTCAACTAAAGCGTATAAACTAAAACCATCAGGTTTATTTTCTTGAATAGCAATAACTGTGAGCCAAACACTTGTAAACATCAAATAAGCCATGATAATACTAAATAATACCGCTGAAATCGTATGGATCCATTTAGAACTATCAATAAGTTTATAAAATATATATATTACGTATTAATAACAAAAGTGTGTAGTGAATTAGTGATATAAAATGATAATCACCCTTGTGGTCTATTGCCCATGGAAATGATGAATTGTATAATAATTAATCCATAATAAATATGATCCAGGGCAATAAACATATATTTAGAAAATAGATATTTGGTATCTGATTTAGCTGAGGATATAATGAAAGGCCAATTAATAATTAAATACGGTACAGAACTATGATTTAAAGTCATAATATAGTATCTAATTTATTGTATATACAGTAGTAGGTAACTTACCATTTTCATGACCCACTCGGTTTTTGACGTCGTTTTGAAAAGTATAACTTAAAATATAAAAGATCAAGTAGCAATTTCCCTAGAAATAATAAAATAAATTATAAGCCGAATATAAGCAGAATATAAACAAATAAAATAAAAAAAAGTTACCAAGGCAAACCATGAAAAAAGAAGATTAATTGCTTGGTAAAACATCTCAATACAAAATAAGAGTATACGAAAGTAGGAATGATCACTTCTAAAAATGTAATAAAAGTGCGTAATAGCATAAAAACTAGCAAAGAAAGTTCCATTTAACCAACGCCTTCGTTGGCTGATTAATTCGGGTAGATCTTCAGGTATGTCCGTTTCAGCCTGAGAATACTTTATGTAGCGCAAAAGCCAGGAACATTGACGTTTTGTAACCAATTCAAAACAAAGAATACGATCTTCAGCAAGATACATATTAGCAGTGAGAATACTTTCAACAGGAGCATTTTCGTTTTCATTATCTTTTTCAAACTTGAAATAAGATGCAAGAGGTCCTTCTTCACGTTGTCCTTCACCACTTTTAGTATTTTGAAGGGCAACATATCTATAAGCGGAGAAAGCACCGGGTAAAACGGTAACATAACCAAATACAGACTCAAATGGTTTATCCAAAATATTAGACATTTTATATTCAAAATTTTGGGCACCCACGATTGGGTTTAATAATTTAACGCATCCTTTGCCTTTCGTAGCGACTATTTCCCCGCAAACGCCCGCAACAGAGGGATTATGGAATGCTCTCCACAAATAATAAATAGATCTATCTCCTTTAAGAAGTTTAAATAGCAACAAGCCAAAAAGAATATATACAATATATATGCTATTAGCAAGATATAAATATTTACTTTCTCAATAGAGAATCATAATGACAATAGTGATTGTCTAACCTGGTTTAGTACCGACATCAACCAGAACACATATTTCAGGTTCGAGAACTGAACCAAAGGCATTAAAGAACCAACGATGAGAATTGATTTTTTTCTTATTTTTTTCCTTAAGACAAAAGAGGATTTGAACAGGTACGATTCCATCATTTGCAGTTTTTATGTTCATAGAAGGATCAATTGCAATCTGAGTCGTATACTCAAATATATGTGCGCTAACGGCTTTATCATTTACACTAGTTTGCATAATGCCATCTTGATAAACACCAAGGACTGCTAGATAAGCTAAAACACGTTGACTGACATTCCTACGACCATCAGCAATTATGCACACTACAACCTCTTTCCATTTGTTTTCCTTATTCTTGTTGATTTTAAAACAAGTTATTAATAAATTCAAAGAAATTACATATTACAATATAATGAATGTTATGATAAAAAAACATCTACCCGTTTAGAACAAATATAATTAATATTTTTTGTGATTCCATAAAGAGTGCGAGATAATAGAATTTCATTTTCCTATTACAGTATTAACAAAGATTAAATTGCAAATTTTTATTTAATAAATTTTTGAGAGACTAATATTGCATACATTCTATAAAGGATTAATTATTTCATACGTTATACATGGTTATTGCAATAAATAGTTTTATCTGTCCTGGAGGTTGACGAAGCGTGTATCCTCTGTCCTTGAAATTATCTGGATCACACGTGCAGGCGGTATACCTTATACTTGTAAATTCTGGTTTATCATCGTAAGGAACACCTGAAAACAATTCACGAACAGGTACAGGACAATCTATCACCAAATTCCCTCTTGTTAATTCAATATTCTTTGTAATTGTAGTTTCGGTTTGTTCCTCAATTTGTTTCTCAATACTTTCTTCATAATTATTTATAGGTGCTTTTGGAGGCAATGGAGGTTGATAGTATAAATTTTGGTTGAAGGTTTGATGATTACCACCTCTTGGTGTATATCCACCTTGATTTGATGCCATGGACGCAAGACAAAAGAAATTATACACAGTCCTATACAGATAATTATTTGTATGAGTGAATTTATTTTAGAAACTTTTAATAAATTTTATTCAACTTTTTTAATCCTTTTATAATAAATAAGTCATTCAAATTAATGTTAAGTGCAAATAATTTTTTTTAATTTCAACAGGTTTTAAGCAAGTTACGCTTATAATGGTAAATTGAACTATTCGGTTGAAAAAATATATTGTATTTTTAATAGATCATACGCGCGATGAATATAATAAAAAATTGATTTAAAGTACAAATATAAAAAAAATTTGTCTAAAATTGACAACCTAAAAGAGATTCACAATCCAATTGTAGATTGATAATTTCATAACAGTCATTACAAATTTAGTTATTAGATTGTAAATCAAATGGGTCAAATTAGGCATTTAAAACAATGCCATGAATTTTTTTAAATCATATGGAATTAAAATTCCGTAATTTAGGAAAATCTATACAAAATAAAACAATGCCATGAATTTTTTTAAATCATATGGAATTAAAATTCCGTAATTTAGGAAAATCTATACAAAATTGTTTATTGAACTAAAATATACGTAGTACTTTGTTCAATTCCCTAAGGAAGTTAGTTTATAATTTATAGCAACTTCAGACTTGCCAATTTTGATTTTATGAAGAGTAAGGCAATAAGAATCATTTGATGTTGGCCAAAAAAATCTTTATTGATCTAATTATATTAGCGATATTACATA